TGGCCCACCTTCTCCCCGTTCCACAGCCCAGTGCTTAAGTGGATGCTCCTAGCAACAGTTCAGCCTGATTTAAAAGGTCTAAATATGTTCAGTGTTGTCTCATGAGACAAGAAACCAATTCATGTTAGACAACTTTTCGTCAGTGGTAAGCAAGCCACAGCTAACCAGGAAATTCCCGTAGGAGCTAGAGATCGGTTCTGAGTCACGCTGGATACAAGAGGGCATGGGTTGCACACCCCCGTGCCAACATCTGTTAGAGGTGTTCGCCACAGCAGGAAAACAGCACTGTCACTAGGCTAGTGGCCATGCTTGTTAATGTCCTATGTGATACATTGCCACCGATTGTCCTTAAAAACACTCAAGGACAATCCTTTAGGAGCCATTGCATCCTGGGCAATCCCGCTGGCTTTGGGAAGCTGAGGGAGGGCACAGGGCCAAGCTCTCTGGGCCAGGCTGGCTGGCCGAAAGGAAGAACAGGAGAAAGTTGATCCAAAGAGGAATCCTGAGCTAAGGCAGCTGGGAGTTTGTTGGAAGGGTGGCATCGTTAGCTGACTCATCCCTCCAAAGGAACAAGCAAACCTGTCCCCAGGGCATTCTGACTTGTGGTGAGCCCACAGGCAGAGCTGTGCTCCGTGGGGTTTTGGCTGCCCCTTGTCTCATCAAAGGAGCAGGGGTGGTACAGCAGTTTGCGAACAACTGCGAACCTAAGGTTGGTGGATCAAGCCCACTCCGCTGCTCTGCAGGAGAAAGGCCTGGTGACGGCCACGAAGACCCCGTGGGGCAGATTTTCTCTGCAGCACGTGGGCGGTCAGGAGTCAGGGACCGACGCGGGGCAGCTCGCAGCAGTACATTTTACAGGCTTCTGCGCCAACGTGATGGCAGTGCATTTGCTGCTGTTGCTGTGGTTGGTTTCTCTGACAGAGCCACTGGCTGGGCTCCTCCAGCCAGCTGCCCAGTGCAGACCGAGGGCCACCGGAGAGCTCAGGTGGCCCGGTCACTCTTGTTGTTAGTTGTCAAGTCCATCGGACTCGTGGAGCGCTGCTCTGTGGGGTCTCAGGCCTGTAAACCTTTCCAGAAGCCCACCACCACATCTCTCTCCTGCTTTGTGCATTGAAAGCTCCAACTGGGGCCTATGTAAGTCACGCCTGCGTTTTATTTTTAACATCTTATTTTTACATTTACTCCCTTTATTTTATTTGACTCCTGAATTCCAAATGGATCGGCTTTAAAGGGGGCCACCCTTTGATTTCCTCTTGGGATGGGTGGCAGATACGTGGCTCTCAGGTCCGCGCAGTGATGTAAAGCTGGTAGGGATCACTGCCTCGTTAAGAAGCTGTCCACAGAGCGAATTCAGCGGCTCAAGGAGAGACATTGCTTCCATCTGTCTCTCAGTGTGGACAGGAAGGCCTTGCATTTCGGTAAGATCCCCGTTGACAAACGCTGTTTTGATGACTCTTGAGAAAACAAATGCTGGCCTCCACATGGTTACCGTTTAATTATCGTTTCAACAGGTTGGCTTCTGGCCCTCAAAATCTGGAAAGCACCTCACGCGGCTAAATATTTCGATGACCAAGCTTTCTGGAAGGTAAGGTCTTTTGTTGCTGTTTGTTCATTTGTTTCTAACCTAGTAATGTAATTTTAAGTGCATGAACTTCAAAAGATACGCAGTATGTGTGCAGCCTTGGTGTTTATGAGATCAGAACAAAAACAAGGAACATTTGTGGAAGGAGCAGATCCAGGTTGTGTGTGTGTGTGTGTGTGTGTGAGTGTGTGGTGTGCACGCGCGTGCACACACCCGCATGCTAGGAAATGATTAAAGATTACCAGGCAACAACTGCCACTGACCACCCTGCCCCCACTCACATGGACTCATCAAAGTGGACAAATACTTAGAAACGAGCTATCAGGAGCCAGGAGGAACCACAGGCACCATCAAAGTCCAGGCTCTAATTGACAGTTGCTCAGAGGTGGAGAAATGACTTGTCTGGGATCTCACAGGGAGTGAGTGGCAGGGAGGAATCTCAAACACGGCTCTGGTTACGTTGTGACTCACGGACACAAGACAATTTGCATTCTGGAAGTCATTCAGCAAAGGGGCAAAGGGTCTAACAACTTAGTTGCTGCTGAGAGTCTCTGTGTTACATTGTAGCGCTTGTCACATCATGATAGGACTAGATCACAAAGCACACCTGGGATAATCGGGTCACCTGAACAAGCAGGGATCAACCTTCCCAAGTTCTAACTGGGAAGTCAGGGCCGACCGCATCAGAACGTCAGGAGTCAAACCAACAGAGCCCCCAGCCAATCCTTTCTCCCCTGAGCACACCAAGAGGCTGAACTTCTAAAAAAGCACACGAAGCCAGTCTTGCTGGGGCCCGGGCATATCTAGTGACAAAGCAGAGAGAGCCAGCCTCTGCCATCGCCGCCATTGCGCTGCCGGTGCCATCGTCACCCCCCCCCCTCGTCCTCTTGTCCTTCTCGCCCCGCGCCCTTCCTTCAGTCCCTTTGTTTCTCTTCCTCCTCCAGCCTCACTGAGGTACAACTGCCGTATAATCACCTGCACATATTTAAAGCATATGCGTTTTATGTATGTCTCCCCCCTGAGAACACCACCACGATCAAGATGAGCTTGCTCCTCACCATCAGAGGTTTAGCCATGCCCTTTGGAGCTTTCTCCCTGGCCCCTCCCCACCCATCCAACACTGAACTGCTTTCTGCCCCTGTCGAAACCTGGGTCAACAGAATGCCACAGTATGTCCTCTTCTCCGCCTGGCCTCTTTCACTCAGCATGCTTCTGAGGTACAGCCACGTGGTTGCATGGCACCTGCCGCATCTTGGACCAACTTCTCTCTAAGCTGTGGGGACCACAGGCAGGACAGATTGTGCAGTGCAAGCCTTTGAGGTCCAGTAAGTCTTCGCTGAAGAAATGAGGGAATCTGAAGAGCCCTACCTCACACCTCACAGTAGCAGGTGAAGCAGAGCAAGTGTATACATACTGGGGATGAGAAAACCTAGATTCCAGCAACCTTTCTACAATGTATCGGCTAAACAAATCCCTTAACCTTTTCCTCGCACTGGTGAAATAGGAACAATAATTCTTTGTTCTACCTCCTGAGTTGTTCTGACAACCAGGTGAGGTAATAAATAATACCTGTAACAGCAATTGGTAAAATGCAAAGCACCACGCAGACATGTATTCCTAGGGGTTTAGCCAACCACCAGGGGTATGAGTAAGCATGACCGCTCCCACTGATGGTGGACCAGCTGGACAAATTTCAACGTTATCTGCTTTTAGCCTCACAACAATCCTGTACGAGAAGAGGTATCCCCATTTTTGAGATGAGGAAATTGAGGCTTGGAGAGGTTGAGTAAACATGTCCAAAATTACAGAGCTGGGAAATGGACCGGGGAGAATTTGCACTGATGGTGGCAACTTGGCTCCAAAGACACGGGTGTGCGTGTGCTGTGACATGACAGCTAGTGGAGAATAGTGGGGGGCGGGGAGGAGAACAACTACTGCCCCCAATCTTCTGACTTATTTTCTTGCTGAGTAGAACCATTTTCTCAGCAGTATAGCACTAACATCTTGCATTTGAAAAGTCAAAAATCTATTAAAGAGGCAGGAATTCAACTTGCAAAGCAGATTAAGTCCAAGGGTGATTTAAAGACAAAAAAAGATACATACTACCCCAAATGCTATTTTAAACTTTACTGAATTTCATAGAACCCGATTGCCAGGCTTGGAGAAGACAGGAAAGAAGGTCGACCGTGCCGCCCTTGGCTGCTCTTCCTGGGAGGGCGCCTCCAACACTCCCCAGGGGCTCCCCTCTCATCCTTGGACAAAACTCACTGCCACCCAGGCGATGCCGACTCACAGTGACCCTACAGGGCAGGGGAGAACTGTCCCCTGGGTTTCCAAGACTGTAGTTCTATATGAGAGCAAAAAGCCCCGTCTTTCTCTGCAGAGGCCGGTGGTGTCAAACTGCTGACCTTGCAGTCTGCCGCCCAGCTCTTGATGCAGAAGCCATCAGGGCTTGGGTTAAAAGAGGGTGTGACCCATGAGGGGAACAGAGCCTCCACCTTGGCCCTATGAAAATCCACTCGTTCCCCATTAACCCGTTCCGCTAAGTGTCTTAATGGGTGCCAGGCATTCTGCTAAGCTCTGGAGAAATGACTCAGAGGATCGAATTCTAGATCTCAGAAACAAAACAGACAAAAAACTCTCCCTGACATTGAGTTGATGCTGACGAGGGAGAACTGCTCCCAAGTTACCAAGACTGTGACGCTTTACAAGAGTAGAAAGCCCACCTTGCTCTTGAAGAGACTCCTGACTGCCTAGCGCATAACCACTCCACCACCAGAGCACCTCCTAGATATGCCGATTACTTCTCTCCCGGGGACTTACAGTGATCCAGATCCAGACTCGGTTAATTTGCAAAAATTCTGTTTGCAACACATGTTCCCCACTGGGTCTTTACTCTCACTAAAAGAATAATTAAATTGTTTGCTTCAACTCAATTTAATAAACCACACACTTTATTTCATGTTTTCCAAAGCATTGGGGCCTTTGGCTTCCACTTGTAAACACTAATTCTACAGTGGACCTTTCTGAAATGAACTGAGGGATTTCTGATTCGGGTCTCCTGTGGGTGCGCCTGTGAGCTGGGCAGTGCAGAAAGCAAAGGGGTGAGGGGTTGGCTGGCTTGGGAGGGCTGGAACACGGCACAGCTCGCTCCACCTGCTTAGTACCATCTAAATGATGCTGGCAGAAGCTGCTCGAAGAGTTCAGAGGAAGGAGAGATCAGACACGGGGTTGGGAAAGGAACTTGGAGTTGTGCTGGATTCCACTAAAGAGCAGGAAGTGAAAGGCAAACAAAGGGAAGGATGAGCCCGAACCGAAGCAGCAGCAGCCCAGCCAGCAGTCTGTGAAGCAAAGGCTGAAGGGAGGCGAGAGCCACTGAATTTCCTCCTTCCGGCAACTGGAAGCTCCCAGAGGCAGGATTAAGACTGTAACATGGTTCTGACGTGAGCAGAAACACCAGTTTGGGCCCCAAACTGTAACATGATGTCTTAAGAGTTTAGACAAAAAATCCTTAGAACCCGGTCTTGTCACACGAGTATGGCCCCAGCTTCTGAATTCAAAGTAATGTGCTGGAACAGTGTTTCCCAAAGTGGCAAAAGCAAATACCTACACTTTATCCTGGATCATAGACTACAGTACAAAAGTCTTTAGTTGCCAAGGAGTGCCGAGTAATCTTTTTTTTCTGACAAGGGGATGGTAGACCAAAGAGGTTTGGGAACCTGTTCTAGACACACTGTTGGTATCCCACCCATGCTTGTTCTACCCAAGGAGTGCCAGTTTTTGTCTTGTTGCCAGTTTGTAAAGTCCAGTAGGAAAACAGATGAGAACCTGACTCCTCCAGTCTTGTGTACGTGGGGTGGGGGGGCAGGCGTGAGCATGGCTCTGGGAGGCAGGCCTGCATTGAGCACCCCTTCAGGACACTTATTCTTCTGGGATGAAGTCCATGTTTTTCTAAGCGCGTGCTCTGCAGCAGTCAGATTCTACCACGTCCAGCTCTGTGGCCTCTCAGATGCTCCATCTTTCCATCTCTGAAACAGGATACCACTATTCTAATTCTCTCACTGGGTTGTTGAGACTTGGAAGGAGATCATCTTTTGCAGGCTCGCACACTGACTAGGCCATGCAAAATAGCCCGGAAGTGTTGGCTGCCCTGAAGTCCTAGGAGTTCAAGAGCACTGTGGTCCCAGGTTCGCAGTGTGCAGTGAAGCCGTGTGGCAGGTATCATGTGGCTCTAGCAAAGAGACACCTCAGAACTCTTCCAGCACCTGAAAGTCTGTTATGCACAAGAGGAAAGATATTTTCACCTAAGAATTTAAGGAGGCCCAATAGGCGTCAAAGTCACTCACTCAGTAGGAATCACTTTATAAGGTGGTTCAGTTCCCTTCACTAGAGATTTCAAACAGAAGCCAGATGACTATCAATGATCCATGCCAAAGGCCAAGTGAGATGACCTCTGGGATTGTAGGAAGGCACTGCGAAGGGTTTTGTGATGAGAGGATGTTCTCACTGCCAGAGTCGATCCCAACTCATGGCAACCCCCGAGGACCGAGGAGGAGCGACCCCGTGGGTTTCCTAGGCTCCAACTCTTGGTTTCCAAACTGCTGACCTGGAGGTTAGCAGCCTAACACGTAACCCACTAGGCCTCCGGGGCCCCTAATAGGTCACTCTAAGTCTTTGACGATCCAGCCAGAATTTTAGGCGTTTAAAGGCCCCTCTGTAATAAAAATGTTTGCTTTGTTTTCAGTTTCCTCATTTGACTGTTGGATATTAAACCCAAGAACCCAAGGAAAACAAGTTCTGTCCAAGAGCAAGACTCCTTACTTTTGTGTTTCCCACCTTTTCTGAGCGACACTCATTCTTACAGGATGGTCTCTGTTTCGTGAAACAAGGGCAGAGAGAGATTTCAGATTAAAAGCAAAAGTCTTAAACCGTGTTGAAGTGGTCATTGAACAAATTATTTTCAATAAATGTTTGGTTTCCTTAGAGATGATATCAGTGTTTTCTTGGGTGCAGACATATAATAAAGGTTTATGTGATTTACAGTGCCTCGGATTTTTCTCATATTTCGAGTGTGTTATACCCAGTAACTCTTGCCTCCATCAGCAGCGTGGCTCAGACAGGAGAAGAAATGCAGGGCTCCGCGTAGTCCTTGCGGACACCAGGCTTTTCTTGCGGGAGCAGGACAAGGTGGTGTGCATTTCTGGAGCACATGCGGAACAGCCCTGCAAAGAAGATGTGGTTACTTGTCTGGTGGGAGAAACGCTGCCTCCCCATCAGACAACTAACTCTATGAATGTGAGGACACTGTTTTGATTCCTATGGGCTCCCTCAATAAAAAGAGAGGGTACACTTCACCCTCGACTACCCCTTCCAATCCTCACATCCAAGCATCTAAAGCTTGTGGGATGACAGGAGGCTGGTCATTTCTTGGAGCAGGGCCTTGGGGACCAGGCCGTCTTCCAAACATAATGAAGGCCAACAAAGAAAGGAGGATCACAAACTTGAATCATGTCGGAGATTTTGTACTTAATGGAGGACAACCTGTAGCAAGTTTTATGAAAGAAGAAACGCTCCAGCTACTGTGAAGAACATTTATCCCATGGTTAGTGAGTTTGTTAAAAAATAAATTCCACTTTGTTAAAGTGGGGAAGTCTGGGGGGAATAACAAGAATCCTTTTTGGGAAAAGACTACGAGAATTATGAAAGATATTTCTAACTGTGGGTCACTCGTGTAAACTGAGAGAAAATGAAACATGGAATCCAATTCTATTATCAGACTGTCACCACAAGCAAACAGTTGTCACCCAAGGGGCTGCGGCATCAAGTCCCTCGCCCCATTCTCCCTTCAAGGGTGGATATAAATGGCCGCCGGCATCCCACCAGGACCAAGGGCTGAGTCGTGTCCCCAACTGCCCAGTGATAATAGCACTGTGGAAGGGATCCCCACGGAAGGAGTGTGACCGGCTCGCAGGCTGTCAAACGACTCCTCGCTTCTGACATGGCTGGTTGACTGCTTAGGAAGCCCTCAGAGCTATGATGTCCACAGAAGGCTTGCTGACATGATTTAAGCCAAAACAAAGTACAGTGGGGGGAAAATGTGACAGCTGAATAGTGTTTTAAGAACAATGTGTATTTCATTTATCATTTAACACTGATGATGCCACATGCAAATACATGCACAAAATCTCCGGAGATGTGAACTGCCATTTTATAACCTTAGACACAACAAATGCAGGCATATCCATAGTTCCTTTCATAATTTTTTATTTTTACAAATTATATACCATGATAAAATTTGATAAAAAACTGCTCATGTGTAACCTTGTCCTTTAACCTTGCATAAGTGCAAACTACAATAGGGAATTTGGTTGTTTCCACTGGACGTTCTCATGATTTTAGTGAGAGCACTTTCAGCCGAGACTACCCTCAGAAATAAGTTTAGAAAACGGCATTACAAAAGATTGGGAGCGAGCAGACAGAGCCCACGACGCAGGGCACGGAGCTGTGCAATGCATGGTCACTGCCATAAGTCTTCAGTGCGGCCGAACTTAAAAACCAGTCCTCTGTGAATAAAACAGAAAAGGGTATCATTACCTGAGTTTGGGGAAAGGGGTGGATGATTCTGAGAAAATTGAGAAACTAGCAACAAAAAGTTATCGGTGGGCTGGAGGAAAACAAATCCCGGAATGTATCCAGACAGAGTGGCCATTCCGAGAAGAGACTCCTTCCTTGCACTCAGCTGACCGCCATCGTATGTCTGCTCTGGACACCGGACGACTGGAGGCACGTCACTGAAAACGTTAACCACCAGTCAGTATGTAGCGATCACACATCGATTTTATCCAACTCACTCCACATGCTGATCTGTGCCAGGGTTTTCCAGGTACATCAGATGTGGCTCCTGCTCTCTAGTAACTGATATTGAGGAGCCAATGTGGGAATATGGGGGGAAGGGGTGTGTCCATGCCAAATGTTAAACAAACATAGAAGTAGAAAGTCAGGACTGCCTGGATGTGTTAGGAAAGGATCGTGAGCTGACATTGGAGATGGGTTTGATGGAGAAAGCAGCAGGAGGCTGAATGGAAGGTTGGCAGGAATGAGAGCTGGTGGGATGATGGAAGACTTTCAGGAGAGGGAACTACACCCAGTCACAGAAACGTGAGACCACTCAGGAAAGGAGCAGATGGGTGTCGGGACCGTGTCCGCACACCGCGCACTGCTGTCTTCAGCGGAGAAGAAACCCTGCCAGCAGTTGCTCTCAAGGCTTCCCTCTAAGAGGGGCAAGAGGGCACGTCTATGCACCGAAAAGAACAAGGCAGAGTCCAGCCTGGCTACATCAGTGTTGGGAAGAGATGAAGAATGACGAGAATGGAGGTGTCAAGGTTTGGAAGACCAACTTCCGAGGGCTGACAAAATGTCCACAAGGATTTCAGGTGCCTTACACGAGTGGAGGGTAAGTGCCAACTGTGTGCACTCCTGCAGGGGGCAGCTGGTACTCAGTCCCAGGCCCTGGATGAGGGGGACCGTGGGAGCAATCCTCCCTATTTAAAAGGAACCACTACTCAGCCCTGGCGGACTGTTGCCATCCAGAGCCCTCAGAGCTGCTAGCTTTTTCAAGAGCCCCAAATGTGGACTGGTACATAAAATCTCTTGATTTTTAATTGTTGGCTCAGGAAAACGAAAGAAAAAATGGTACAAGCTAAATAAGAATGCACTGTGGGGAGAATCTGGCCCAACAACAGCCAGTTTCGAGCTCTTGTGTAGTCCGCTCAGAATTCTGAGATTCTAAGAGGGTGATGATAAGTTGTGAGGGTGTTTTAGGAAGATCAATGATGAGGGAGGTGGCACAGAGGGAGGTAATGAGGGCAGAAATATTAACAATGTGGTGGGCAAGAGAGAACAGGTTTTAGTGAGGCAGATTGGACAGGGCTTGGCAGGGGCAGGGGTGAGTGTGAGGGCGGCGACGCTGAAGGTGGAGCATGTATTTCAATTGCACACGTTAGTATTCCTCTTGGCTTCCCAATGACTGGTACATCCCAGGCTAAATCCACAGCTGCTACCGTTTCATAAAGCCTTTATAAAGGTAAATATTTCAGTGATTTTAATGGGGGAGGGGGAAGGAAGGGAGAAGCAACTTGAAATCATCTATAATCTTTACAAAAGCTTTAGAATTACTCTTTATAAAAATTTAATAAACTTCCTAAAGGTGATTTGATCTGCTCTTCCCCTGTAAAGAGTTGTTCTCAGGGCCTCCTCTTGCCAGTGAGCATGAAATAGACAGGATCATTTCAGATCCTAGCCAGCAATGTGAGATGTCTCGCTTCTTGGGCGAGAGCCAGGGCCTCCTCTGTCATCCGACGGGCACTGTCGGCCCTGCCACATGTTTCTGATCTCTGAGACACTTCTTCTAAGCAGCTGCTGAGAACCGTTCTGTCAGAGGCAGGGTGGCAAGCAATCTGCTGCAAATCTTCGGATCAAAATGTCAATTCGTTCCACTGAATTGCAATTTGCCTGTAGTGTATTCTCACAAACCGTTTTAGTTTTGGGGCTTCATAGGTATAATAGGAGAAAAAAGGAGACCCTAATCAAACTCCTTGCATAAAGTATTTACCGTAACTATTCTGAGATGGAGACAAGTCAATCAACGACAAGTTTCCAGTGTTTCATGAAGTGTGGGAACTACTAGATGGGATTTTCATTTCTCTCTGTCACTGGAAGAGAGAAAATTTCCATTCAATTTTTCCCCTCAATCTTCTGCCAAGACATACGTAACTTCTTTGCTAAAAGCAGGATCTCAAGATGAAATTTACTTTATCCTCTTCTTGGCTGGGGTAAAGACGAAAAGAAAGATGGTGGCTACCTGTGCCGCTCACAGGCTGAGGACTCTGCCTATCACACAAGTGTCTCTGAGCCTGGCCCTGGCCTCTGGCTGAAGCTGTGGGTCCTCATTCCCCAGAGCGTCTTTAATCCTGTGCAGATGGGAGCTAAGGATGCCTGGCACACTCCAAAGATGCTTAAGCCTCTGCACTGCAACCAGAGAGGGAGAGAAAGCCCCGAGTACCAGCACCACTCCAGTGTCTCCCTCTCTCAGAACCCGGCACCTCACCCCGCCCACTGACAAGCACTTGTGCTTCACCAGCTCAAGCGGTCCAGTTTAGATGCTACAACACGGTAACATGGAGCCTTAAGAGAGGACCTTTTCTGTAAAAGCGAAATATGATCTTTTTTTACTTCTTGAAAATGAAAACAAAGAGGTTCTGAGTAAAATAAAATGATTTTTAAGAGGAAGTTTTGGAGATAGCGTATATTTCTGTCTTTTATAATAACATTTTTTAAATTTTCAAAAATTAGAGTTTATTCACTTTGTAGCTTTCGAACTTCTCTGGGCCTTTCTGCCCTCTGTAAAACGAGCGTGCAGACAGCACTGTCGGAGAGTCTGGTGGGGATTACAGGAGCCCGTACATGTAAAGCACTGTGGACGGGTCCTAGCACATAAGAATTGCTCAAAATGTATTTTCTGCATAAAACTCAATGGCCTTCTATAAGGAGATTTGAAAAAGCTCCTGGGAAAGCGTAATAGAAAAGTAAATTATATATGTATAAAGAGTGTGTGTGTGTGTATATATATATGTATATATATATATGTGTGTGTGTGTGTGTGTGTATACAACATGTAATTCAATATATACTGGGTAAGTATAATAAAAAATAGTGGAATTTTCCACAAACCTTTGAAGTCTGTGTATGTTTGGGGTTTTTTTGCCCCCTTTGGAGTTTCATTCCAAATTTAGGCCACAAACTATGACCCAAAGAAGTTGTGTATTCTGCTGCATCTGTTGATGTTCGATGCGGTCAGTCGGTTCCAACTCAGAGCAACCTTGCGTACAAGAGAACGAAACACTGCCCAGGGTCCGGCACCATGCTCACCTTGTTGTGTGAGCCACTGTTGCAGCCACGGTGTCAGGCCAGGGCCTTCCTCTGCTCTACCAGGCACGATGTCCCTCTCAGGGACTGGTCTCTCCTGAAAACTGCCCAAAGGACGCGAGTGAACCTCGCCACCCTTGCTTCTAAGGGACATGCTGGCTCTGCTTCCAGGGCAGAGTGGCTTGTCCTCTTGGCAGGCGTGGCACTTTCAATATTCTTTGCCAGCACATTTCAAATGCATCGACTCTTCTTCGGTCTTCCTCAGTGTCCAGCTTTCACATACATGTAAAGCCATTGAAAACACCATGGCTGAGTCCTCAAAGTAACATCTCTGCATTTCCAACACTGTAAAGAGGTGTTGGCCAGATTCATCTAATACAAATGCGTCATTTGCTCCTCCTTGACTGCTTGCTTCCAAAAGCATTGAATGTGGATCCAAACAAGATAAAATCCTCAACATTCTTTTCTCTATTTATTTCTTTTTCATTTCATTCTTTCTATTTCATTTCATTTCTTTCTATTTCATTCTTCTCTCTATTTAGCATGATGCTACCTATTAGTCCAGTTGCAAGGATTTGGGTCTTCTTTATGAGTTGTAATCCATGCAAACTCTGAGTTTCATCAGCAAGTGCTTCAAGTTCTCCTCACTTTCAGTAAGCACGGTTGTGTGATCTGCATATCACAGGTGGTTAATAAGTCATCCTCCAATCCTGATACTGCGTTCTTCTTCATATAATCCAGTTTCCCTAATTATTTGCTCAGCATAATGAATGAACAAAAATGGAAAGATACATCCTTACACACACCATTCTTGATTTTAAACTACGCAGTATTCTCTTGATCCACTTACAGGTTTCGCATGAGTACAACACACTGAGCAACACTGAAAAGAGAAAATGTGCACTCTTTTCAAGGCTACCCATAGTTTATTACGGTCCACACAGGTGAATACCTTTGTATATAAGGGAGTACCCCACAAAAACTGAAGCTGGCTTGTTTTTCTGATGTGAAGGGTAATAGTGCATTTGGAGCTCGTTCCACCAGGTCAGTCTGTTAATCAAGCTTTCTATGAGAGGTGCTGAGAAGATTGCATAACAGTGTGCAACAAAAAGGCCTGATTCGTGGCAGACAGGGGACTGGTTTTGCCACCACCACAATGCACCTGCTCACGCAGCCATCTCAGTGCACAGTTTTGGGCAAAAAACAACCTGCCTCTCTTGCCCCCCACACCTTACTCACCTGACCTCGCTCCATGTGACTTTTTGTTACTGTGAATGAAGAGGGGCATGAAAGGACAGCCATTTGGCAACCATGAAGGAAGAGGTAGAAGAAGCAAAGAAAAAAAAGAGGGAAGTGCTGTCAGCCATCCAAACAGATGAGTTTGAAAAATGTTTACAAGAATGGAAACGCAGATTTGACAAATGTATTAAGTGTGATGGAGAGTACTTTGAAGGTATTAAGGTTGTTTTGCAAAAAATTTAAATACATAGCTTTGAAAAAAAATCCCCCTCGTAGTTGAGAAAACACAAGGAAACCCCTTCCTGGTTCTCTCTGCTCTCGGCTAAGATCCATCTGACATCATCAGTTACATGCTTTCTTCATGAACCTTCTGAATCTGGCCTGAACCTCTGGCAGCCCCCTGTTAATGTACTGCTGCAACTGTTGTGGAAGTCTTCAGTAAACTTTTCCTGGCCTGTGATTCCAGTGACACTGTTCTACAATCTGTGTACCCTATCAGGCCATCTTTCTCTGAACCGGGCGCAAACACAGCTCTCTCCAGTCAGCTGGCCAGCAGGCTGTCTTCCAGACTTCTCAGCGTAGAAGGCCGAGTGCTGCTTCCAGGGCTTCACCAGCTTGTGGAAGCATTTCAGTTGGCATTCTATCAATTCCTGGGGCCTTGTAAATGCTTTCAGGGAAGTTTAGACTTTTCCCTTTTCTTCCTGTGTAATGCTCTTGACATCATCTCACTGTTGACCAGGTCCATCATTGGTGTTCAACACATCAAATGTGTTCTTAAGAAGTTCTTGAAATTCAGGTAGCATATACTCAAGGTCGTATTTTGGCTCTCGTGGACTTTTCCATTTTCTTCACCTTCATCCTGATCGTGCTTACCTACGAGCAACCGACGGTCTGCTCCCTCCAAGAGCACTGAGGAAAGTCACAGAAAGATGGCTATCCTAGGCGCTAGTGAGCTACAAGCAGGCAGTGGCCATCTCGAAGCAGGTAGTCGTCTGGTCTCCTAGGCTGGAATGACAGCTAGAGGGATAGCGTGCATTCATCCTCAAGATGTGCACTTGAGGGTCTATCCTGAAGCGCGATGCTGTCTGTGATAGGAACCTATCCACATATAAGGAAATCCAGTCAATACGACTGTTACTTCAAACTTAGGAACGAACTGCCAAAGCTAGTGAGGCAGAAATTGAAGGATTTTATCAACTTCTTCAGTCTAAAATTGCTACACCTAAGTTCACATTGTTTCTCATTTCTACTATTTTTAAAAACTGCAAAAAATGCCAGAAACAAATTGGCGTGAATGCTAACTGCTGACTAATACTGAAAGGCACAGCTCGCACTTCAAAGAGAGGCTCACGGGCAGATGGGTTTTCACTTGTTTCTATCTTTCTGTGTAAGGGTAGATGAGAGGTCTAACAGATAATCTTTTCAGAGCTGTCACAGGGTGGTGCTGCAGCTGGCCCACGTAGCGATCTGCTTCAGAAAGATAACAGCCGTGAATGACCAGGTGCAATTCAACACGGGACACAGGAGCGGCTGTGAGTTAGAACTGGAACAGATGACAACTAACGAACCTTTTTAGGAATAAGGGCGTCCTTGAAAATCTGATGAAAAGCACTCTTCTCAGACACACAGAAACACCAGTGTTTGGCATGTGTCCCCATGGAAGCCAGGTTAAGAGCTGCTGGTGCTGTCACTGGAAATACAGCCAAGTATTTACAGAAGTGAGCGACCTGGTGCAAGAGCTGGAGAGGAGTTTGAGAGTGTGTGTGTGTGTGAGAATAAACGTTGGAGAAGAGTATTGGGGTTCATGAGTTTTACTTTTGTTGTTGTTGAGAACATACTCAGCAGGACACAGACCACCCCACAGTTCCCACCGGGACACTGCATGCATTCTTGAGGGGAGCAGCCTTTCCCAGCCTATTTCCTGAGTGTTCTCCCACTAACAGTGGTACACCCACGGTCCCCTAACCTGCTTACCTCATCATGTCACTTCTTGTTGGCTCTCTCGCCCCTGCCGCTAGATCTGCAAGAGCACACTGCTCAGGACAGGCAGTCTCCCTGGAGCACTACTCTACACTAGTGTTGAGTTCTAAGACTCCGGGGAATAGTTTTGGTTTAAGATTGAAAGATTCTCCCAGGGCCTCCATGGACTCTCTGGGACCCGTGAGAATTGGGAATTCTGTTTGTGTTCTCCCCTTGTGATCAGGATTCGTCTACAAGAGTCGTGATCAAACTGCCCAACAGTACCAACAGGCACCGTCCAGTCCAGGGGTCCTCAAACTACTGTCTGTGGGCCACGTGGGGCCGACCCAGGACATTTATCTGCCCGCCAGGTGTTTTTGCCCCATTTTTGTTTTAACTTCAAAATAAGATATGTGCAGTGTGCATAGGAATTTGTTCATAGTTTTTTTAAAACTATAGTCCGGCCCTCCAACGGGTCCGAGGGACAGTGAACTGGCCCCGGTTTAAACGTTTGAGGCCCCTCAGCACTGGAGGCAGGCATTCACAGGCATCATCTTCTTATTCCCAACGGGGCCTTTTCCTCCACACCTCAAACCTCACCCACAAATTCAACACACACTAAAATCATAAACAACTATGAAATGCATGCAGGAACTGTATTTTAAGGGGGAAAAAAGCCTTTAAGCAGACTTCCACTAAAACCAACTCTTAGGGACCCAGGTTTAAAATGAACTCTGGCAGTGTTATGTAACAAAACTACATGAATCACATTTCTTCACTTAAGGAGGAGTACAGTGAACCCTCGCCACTTCGCGCTTCTACTTCTGCGGCTTCACTCTATCGCGGTTTGTGCGTAACAGCGCATGCTCTGTCATTACTGCCACTGATTGGCTCATACTGTACACGCTTCTGTCTGCATCGCTACATATCGGAGCTA